GATGACAGCTTATAGGAATAAAGAATTTCTAAAAACTTTGAAGATTTGGGGCGGGGGGGGGGTGTTACAGTGTGATTTTATTGGTGTGTGTGTAGGGGAGACTTAGTAAGGAAAATTTGCTCCAAAATGGAAATACTTTTTAAAGCACCCTTTTCAGATCTAAACTTACAGAAAAATTAATTTTGTAAGGCACCTACTATGAAACAGACAATACATTTGCTCTCCAATACATTTTTAAAGATAATTTGCATATAATGAAGCGTATTTTAAGTGTACAGTTTGAAGAGTTTTGGTCAACAGCTGCATCTGTGTAGCTCACCCTGACCCCCGACTCCAATCAAGAAAGAGAACATTCCTGTAGCTCCAGAAAGCCCGTGTGCCCCTTTCCCATGCCTCCCTCCCAGAAGACACCACTGCTTTCATTTCTACCACCACACACAACCACTTAAAATCTAAGCAATGCCGGAAGACAGCTATGGTGGTTTCCATTCTGTGAATTTGGATACATGGCCCACAGCTCTGTCACTTCCCAAAGTGAGTTGGTGACGAAGCAAGTGAAGGCTGTGAGCAAGTCCTACCTGGCCTTGAGCCTACGTTTTTATCAATGGTCATGTTTAGTATGTACAGAGCTATGACCACATAAATTGAGAAAGGAGGGCCCCTTCTTTAGAAAATACAAAAAAGCCCTGAAAAGATAGGAGGCAATATGTGGCTAAGCATTTGGGTTTGGAAGTCAGACCTGAATTTAATCCCCAGCCTTGCTGTTTACCAGCTGTGGGAGCCTAGGTGGGTCATCTGAGTTTAGCGGGTCTATCAACTGGGGACAACAGCAGTGCCTGCCTCCCAGGACTGCTGTGAGGGCTGCCACAGAGCACTCAGCACAATCCCTGGCTCAGGGCAAACACTCAAATGATGACTATTTGAGAATGCTCTCAAAGTCTCAAATTATCTTCTCTTTGGAGACTAGTTCCAGCTCTATTGACATCCGACTGAATTACTAAGAGATCTAGATTGAGACTCCAGAATAGACAAAGAAAGCTCTGAACCTTTCCAGAGCCCACTGCTCCAAAGGTCGGCCACCCTCAATACTAGAAGAGGCCCTAGGAAAGAAGGTTCTGGCTGTGTTCACGTCCCAGAGCCCAAGTTGCAGTTAGCTGAGGACACAAAGCAGGAAACAATGGGCCTCTCGCAGCAAACCTCTTCACAGAGGACTCGCCAGCCATCCTGCTTTTTAATTTGTTTCAAAGGTTTGATTTCATTTTTAATGAGGTTAGGGAGGTGGGACAGGAGAGTGCAAAGTTGGTTACAAGAAACAGAGAGGTAATTAATACGGGAGGTATTGGTTACTGATTCCATTCAATCAGAAAAGGGGTTTATTCCAGTTAGATGGATAAGTCAAGGCTTCTCTCTTTTCCATCTGCCCTGAGTATACTATTGCTGATTCTAAACAGTGGCCCTGGCACTTGGTTGACCATGGAAATCCCCTGGGGAGCATGAAATAATACTGATGCCTGGGTCCTACCCATGGAAATTCTGATGTAACTGGTCTGGAGTTGTGGCGTGGGCAACAGAAATTTTAAAAGTCCCCCAGGTAATTCCAATGTGCAGCCAGGATTTCAACCCACTGTTCTAAAAAGTTCGGTATGCCTTTATCAGGCTACAATTAACTTCGGGGCCCTGGAGAAGCATCCCAACCTTGGTGAATTCCTGACCATAGATGAAAACAAACCAAAGCATCATAAACAAAAGCAAGCCCCTAGTTCACAGCTTCAGAGCCACAAACAGGAAGCAACTGTATGCGTGCTTAAAAAATAAAAGTCAGCTGAAGGGGGAAAACTGTTGACTTGAAAGGAGACTCAGGCAGGTATAATAGGAAAAAAGGCACCACCTGTAGATGGTTTCTGTATGACTCTCCGTAGAACTGTCTACCTTGTATGTGTGTTGGGGGAAATACATGTGGAAGGTTTGATCAAGGGTTCGGTAAACCTGGATGGCAGTTCAGTTTCACTACTTCCTATGCGATGTTCAGACAAGTGATTAACTGAGCCTGTTTCCTAACTTGCAAATGAAGGTAAAGCCATAATCTTCATAATAACCCCCAGGGAATGAATGTTCAAGTACTTGGCACCTGATCCTTTGTGTTTTCCTTCTGCCCCTTAAGCTCTCCTTAAAACCAGAGATCACAGCCCTGGCTGCACTAGAATTACCTGGGGATGCTTAAAAAGTTCTAACGCATGGGCTTCACCCCAGAACAAGTAACGAAATTTGGGGAGGGGGAAGGAGGAGCATGGCAGCTCAGAAACCAGAGTTTAAAAAAAGCTCTTTAGGCGATTCTAATGTATGGCCAGAGCTGAGAACCACAAAGCTAAGATGTGTCTTTAACCAGCTAGATCTAAGAGTCACTGCTTTGATGCTAATTATACAACTTCCTCTGAGCTGAGGACATTTCTGCAACTCAGAAAAGTCTGTGGTTCCATTTCAACCAAACTAAATTCAATCAGCCACCTAAGTGTAGCATTATTTTCCATCCAAAACCTACAGGACAGCTACTGCCGAATTACATTCTCTTCCTGTGTTTGGCACACAAATTACTGACCTGTAACTCTCAACCGTCTAGTGGGAATAATGTCATCAACCCCACTTTCTAGGGGAGAAAATTAAAAAATCAGAACTATTAAGGTCCTCTGACTCCCACTATCATGTCCATTTTATTATATAACCCTAATCGAAGAAATCATTGCTTTACTTCCCTGCAGAGGTTGTTAGCACAGGTTCCTGGGGCCCACCCTGGGCAGATCCAACAGTCTGTGGTAGGACTTGAAAATGTGGCCATTTCTAACACATCCAGCTGATGCCGCTCATCTGGGGACCACAGTTTCAGAACCTCGGGTTGAACGCCTTCTTCCCCTCAGGTGGTCTCCTAATTTTACTCAAAATAGAGCAGACCCAACTCACACGCAGGGCTGACTCAATTTTTCTCCAGCCGGGTCGTTGGAACTGATCTTTCCTAAGGACCGCACTTTCTAGAGACGACGCTGGCAAACACGTAAAAAGAGGGTCCGGGCTGAACTTTTTGCTCACTGCCATCCAGGGACATAGAGCTACTCAAGGAAGGGACTCCTGGAGGAACCCGAGCGCACAGGAACTTCCCACAGCTGGGAAGGCTGCCTGCGAGACATCCCCAACCTACCTGGGGCCTCAACGCAAGTGGCTAGATAGGTACCCAGGCACCAGGCAGGGCGCGGGACTCCGTGGCCAGGTACCCCGACCTCAGGCCCCTGGCATCGCTCCGGGAGCTCGGGG